CAACTTCTGTTCCACTGATTAATTGTTCTCACTGTTAGGAAGTTTCTCCTTAATTCCGGGTTAGAATAAGAATAGTTGGAAGGGACCTTGGAGATCTTCTAGTCCACCCCCTTGCTCAGGCAGGAAACCTGATACAATTTCAGACAATCTCTTCTTAAAAATTTCCAGTAATGGATCACCCACAACTTCTGGTGGCAAGTTGTTCCACAGATTATTTGTTCTAACTATCAAGAAAGTTCTTCTTATTTCTAGGTTGCTTTTCTCCTTGGTTAGTTTCCATCCATGGTTTCTTGTCTTGCCTTCAGGTGCTCTGGAAAATAAGTTGACCCCCCTCTTCTTAGTGGCAGCCCCTTAAATACTGGAAGGCTGCTCTCATGTCACCCCTAGTCCTTCTTTTCTCTAGACTAGCCAATTGTTCCTGCAACCGTTCTTCCTATATTTTAGTCTCCAGGTCTTTAGGAGAGAAAAACAATGGCTACCAACCTGCCTTCCATCGAGGGCCTGTATCCTGCACGAGTCCAAAAGAGGGCTGTGAAAATATTTACACACTCCTCACATCCTGGACATAAACTGTTTCAACTCCTTCCCTCAAAACGACGCTATAAAGCACTGCACACCAGAACAACCAGACACAAGGGGAGTTTCTCCCCGAACACCATCACTCTGCTAAACAAATAATTCCCTCAACACTGTCCAACTATTTATAAAGTCTGCACTACTATTACTATTAATCTTCTCATCACTCCTTATCTCCTATCCTCTCCCACTTGTGACTGTATGACTGTAAGTTTGTTGCTTCATCCTTATGATTTGTATGGATTGTTTCCTAGCATGATTTGATTGCTTATTGTACCCTTTGACGACTATTAAGTGTTGTACCTGACGACTCTTGACGAATGTCTCTTTTCTTTTATGTACACTGAGAGCATTTGCACCAAGACAAATTCCTTGTGTGTCCAATCACACTTGGCTGAATTCTCTCTCTCTCTCTCTGTATATATCTATCTATTTATCTATGTATCACTCACTCTCTGTGTATGTATCTATGTATCTACGTATGTATCTCTCTCTCTGTCTATCTATCTGTCTATCTATCTGTCTGTCTATCTATCTGTCTATCTATCTGTCTGTCTATCTTTCTGTCTATCTATCTATCTATCTATCTATCTATCTATCTATCTATCTATCTATCTAGCTGTCTGTCTATCTATCTATCTATCTATCTATCTATCATCTATCTATCTATCTATCTATCAGTCTGTCTGTCTGTCTGTCTGTCTATCTATCTATCTATCTATCTATCTATCTATCTATCTATCTATCTATCTATCTATCATCTGTCTATCTATCTATCTATCTATCTATCTATCTATCTATCTATCTATCTATCTATCTATCTATCTCTTTAATCATTCTTAGTTGCTCTTCTCTGCCCTTTTCCCCCCAAAGCCTCAACATCTTTTTTGTTGTTTTGGTGACCAAAACTGGATGCAGGATTCCAGGTGTGGTTTTCTACGATGACCCTTTTATTTTATTTTTCCCCCATCCTCCCCAAATTCATCTGCAAACAGGGGTGGGGGGAGAAACGATTAAAACCCAGAAACCAATTCGAGCCCCTGTGTGTGTGTGTGTGTATGTGTGTGTGCCTATGATTTTATAGCAACTCTCTCTTCTGCTGTTATTTATGACTCCGTCTTTCTCTCTCACAAAGAGTCCTTTTGCTGGGTCCCCCCCCCGTCCCCCTCCTCCTCCTCCTCCTCCTCCTCCTCCTCCTCCTCCTCCTCTCTAGCAGCTGCTCTCCATGTTGTATCTTGAGTGATGATGAGGTCCTGAAAGTGTTTTTTTGGAACAGATGGCTAGGAGGAGGCTGGGGAATGTGCCAAATCCTGCAGTGACTGAGTGCTTTCGGTTCCAGCTCGCGTGCCTTTCCCCTGCCCTCTGCCCCGACTGGCGCCAGTAGGACTTCCCAACCAGCACTCCGAACATCTGGAGTCTGCGGCTGCCAGAAGACCAAAGGGAGGGGGGGAGGAGGAGGAGGAGGAGGGGAGCCCTCCCTGCTCAGCTCAGCTTCCCTCCGCTTGCCAGAGAAAGGGCTAATCAAAACCAAAAAGGCCTCCGTGTGCATGCACACCCACCCACACGCCCGCAAGGAGAGCGGCGTGCAAGCTAACCAGCTACAGGTCAACCCCCTCCCAGGGCCCCCCCCTCCTCCATCTACCAATGAGGGGTGTGTGTGTGTGTGGGGGGGTGGAGAAATGTTCGGAAAAACTAATGAAGCAAAGAATATTATCTTTCAAAGGCTGGAGACAGGGTGGCGGGGTGGGGAGCAGAGGAGGGGAAGGATGGCCGGGAAAACTCGGGGCTTCCCTCCGAGGTGTTTTTTCTTTTTTTTCCCCCCAGCCCGTGAAGGAATGACAGGATAAGACTTTTTGGGGAGGATCATGCTAGGCTTCTGGGTTCGCAAGGCCTGGGGATAGAATAACAGAATAAGGGAGTTGGGAGGGACCTTGGGAGGTCCGCTAGTCCAAACCCTGCTCAGGCAGGAAACCCTATACCATTCCTGACAGGGGATTGGCCCCCAGTCCCCCAGATGGCTTTCAATGGCTAAGGCAGGACTAGAACTCCCAGTCTCCTGGTGATTGGCCCCCAGTCCCCCAAATGGTTTTCAGGACAAAGGCGGGACTAGAACTCCCAATCTCCTGGTGATTGGCCCCCAGTCCCCCAGATGGCTTTCATGGCCCCAGGTGGGGCTAGACCTCCCATTCTCTAGTCTGGTGTTTTAACCAAGTGAGATAAAGATAAAGGCTCCTTTTTGTGAACTTTTGGCTGTAAATAAAAACGCTTCTTATTGTAAATGCTAAATTGGGCAGCTCTCAGGATCAGGTCCTGTTGGGGGAAGGGAGACAAATGCCCCCTTTTTTTCCTTCTCAGGGAGAATTACGCTTGTCAAAGTCTCTAAACGACCCCTTAAAAATGTCATCATCGTCATCATCCTTTTTTTTTAATAAAAAGGTCTATTTGAAAGTCCTATTGATGGCGATTAGGACGATGATGAGCTGACTATCGTGGCTAAACCGTTCCTTGGCCCCTTGTTCATTCCCGTGGAGGAATTCAGCATCTGAGCAAAGGGAATTGGACAGGACAGAAATGCAACCATCCTTCCTTCTTATGGTAAAAACAAATAGAAAAGGGTGCTGGGGGGAAAGAAGGGGGAAAAAAAAAACCTCCCAAATTCCATGCAGTAAAAAGGAGACAGAGGATCTCAAATGGGGACTCAGAAGCCCACTAAAAATGTCACATCTGGAACCTCTGCCTTGCCAGGATGGGCTCGAACCGGCTGTTTGGGGGAAGCGTGAAAAACTGAACCGGGGCAGGGAAAACTCATCAGCAACCAGGGTGAAAAGGACCAGGCTGGAGGAAGAGAGACAACCACCCATGGCACCAACTTCACCGAATCCTTCCAAATCCAGAAGGGAAATTCTAGTAGGGGATTTGTAAAGATTCTCCCTCATCCAGGGCATGGTTGCCCCAAAGATGCTTTTTTTCAAGAGGCAACTGGAATTTCTTGGTGTTTCTTTTCAAGACATTTTGCTTCTCATCCAAGCTTTTCCTTCCTTCCTTCCTTCCTTCCTTCCTTCCTTCCTTCCTTCCTTCCTTCCTTCCTTCCTTCATTCATTCATTCATTCATTCCTTCCTTATTCCTTCCTTCCCTTCCTCCTTATTTCTTCCTTCCTTATTCCTTCCTTCCTTCCTTCCTTCCTTCCTTCCTTCCTTCCTTCCTTCCTTCCTTCCTATCTTCCTTCCTTCCTTCCTTTCTTTCTTCCTACCTTCCTTTTGTACGGATGCCTCATTTAAAGATCACAACAACTTAAGACCATAATTTTGGGCTCAATTGTGATTGTAAGCCAAGGTCTGCCTGTATGCTTGTGTGGACAGTATAACTCGTGTGTTCCTTGCTTTTTCAGCTGCAATTCCATAGGATTCCCTACCAAAGGTGCTTTTTTTCAGGAGGCAACTGGACTTTCTTTGTTTTTTTCTTTTGAAGACATTTCGCTTCTCATCCAAGAAGCTTCTTCAGCTCTGATAGGACAGTGGGAAATGGAAGGAGTTATACTCCTTGCAGACAGCTGGTCATTTTCATTCTTTTTAGAGGGTTGTTGAGGCCACTTGGAGGTTTGTCTGTGTCCTCAGGGTCACCTGAGTGGTGCAAACAGTTCATGTAGTCTGCAATTTTTTTTTTCTCTGGAAATCCATTCCTTATTCCCACACCATTCCAGGCATCTGTACAAAAGGAAGCAAGGAAGGAAGGAAGAAGGAAGGAAGAAAAAAAGGAAAGAAGGAAGGACAGAATAAGAAAGGAAGAAAGAAGGAAGGACAGAATAAAGAAGGAAGAAAGAAGGAAGGAAGGACAAAATAAGGAAAGAAGAAAGACGGAAAGAAGGAAGGAAGGAAGGTAGGAAGGAAAGAAGAAATAAGGAAGAAATAAAGAAGGAAGGAAGGAATAAAGAAGGAAGGAAGAGGGAGGGAGGGAGGAACGGAAAGGAGGGGAGGGAAGAGGAGAAGGAGGAGGGAAGAAGATGGAAAAAAGAAAGAAGGAAGGAGGAGGGAGGAGGGAGGGGGAGAGAAAGAAAGAAAGACCCAAGCACACAGCCAAAGATTTGCATTTCTTGCTCTGTTTTCAATTCTTAAACCTTGCTGGTTATTCAATATACGTTGAATATATTCAACATATCTGTTTAAAACAGAAAAGAAAGAAAGAAAGGAAAGAACCAGCACTTGACCCCGTAGAGGAGCTGTGAAAGGATATAAATCACAGGCTGGGAGGGGGAGGGGGGGCCCTTAAAGATAAGAGACCGAAACAACCACCAAACAGCCGCTGCCGCCACAGAGGTTTCTCAAGTCCCAGAGCGGACGAGACCTTCCTCCTTTCCAGCTGGCCCGTTTCTCCTCCTCCTCCTCCTCCTCCTCCTCCGAGCTGAGAGAGAGAGAGAGGGACGTACCTTCCTTTTTTTAGACCTGCCTTCAGCCTGCAGGGTGCGGGTGCATTGCTCCACGCATTCGGAGAAGCTCAGGTTGCTGTGGTCCCCACTGTAGTCCAGATCGGCCAGTCTGGCCAAGGAGAGGATATAGTTACAGGCGATTCTCAGGATGGCCAGCTTGGAGAGCTTCTGCCCGTAGGAGTAGCAGGGGACCTGCGAAAGAACAGCGGGGCGCCTGAGGTCAGAGCCACCTTTGGAATGGGAGAAAGCCCAGCCCTGCAGCTCCCGGGACCCAAAGGGCAGGGAACACGGAATAACGGAGGGGGAAGGGACCCTGGAGGTCTTCTAGTCTGATACCACGCCCCCACCCTGCTCGAACAGGAGACCCTCTGCCATTCCAGGCTGGGCTGAGTGAGAGTGATTGGCCCCAAGTTCCCCAGATGGCTTTCAGGGCTAAGGTGGGACTAGAACTCCCAGTCTCCTGGTGATTGGCCCAAAGTCACCCAGATAGCTTTTATGGTTAAGGTGGGACTAGAACTCCCAGTCTCCTGGTGATTGGCCCCAAGTTCCCCAGATGGCTTTCGGGGCTAAGGTGGGACTAGAACTCCCAGTCTCCTGGTGATTGGCCCAAAGACACCCAGATGATGTTCAGGGCTAAGGTGGGACTAGAACTCCCAGTCTCCTGGTGATTGGCCCAAAGTCCCCCAGATGATGTTCAGGGATAACGTGGGACTAGAACTCCCAGTCTCCTGGTGATTGGCCCAAAGACACCCAGCCAGTTTTTCATACTTGAGATGGGACTAGAACTCCCAATCTCCCACTGATTGGCCCAAAGTCACCCAGCTGGCTTTCATGGCTAAGGCGGGAGTAGAACTCCCAGTTTCCTATTTTCTAGCCTGGAGCCTTAACAAGACCAAAGAAGCTCTCTTCTAATCATTACTAATAGACCAATGGAGAAACTTGAAAAAAATCTGAAAACAAGAATGCAATTTGCATTGGATCAAATTACATTTTTGGGGTGGTTGTTTTTTTTTTTTGGAAAATTCAGGTTTGCAATTCCCGCACCTCCTTAAACTCAGTTCACATGGCCCGGGATGCTTCCCCACTTTTAAGCTAACCTGTCCATGGTGCCCCTTTGGTCATGATATCGACTTCGATAATAGTAAACATACTTTAATTTAGTTTACTTTACTTTATTGTCATTGCACCTCATACGACGAAATTAAATACCATCTTCAGTGTGCATTATGACTGAAAATAAACACAAACACACTTCCTTCACATTCTATACATTGAATTGAAAAACCCTATGATATTGCATGAATATTGCACTCTACAGCAGAATTCAACAGAGCTCCTGCCCTGGGAGAGAAGCTGTTTTTCAGCCTATTCGTCCTTGTTTTTATTATTATCCTGTACCGTCTGCCAGATGGTAATAGTTTTTTTTAAAAAAAGGGATTCCCAGGTTGAGATGGATCTTTGAGGATGTTTGGGACTTTCTCAAGGTAGCGGGAGCTCTAAAGCTCTTCCAAAGAGGGGAGAGGGCAATCCATGATCCTCTGGGCAATGACGTTAACCCTCTGGAGCGCTGTCCTATCTGCCTCTGTGCAACTGGCAAACCCTACACAGGTGTGTAGTAACTTAAGATACTCTATGGTGCAGCGGTAGAAGGTCACCAGCAGTTTTCCATTCAGTTGCTGCTTCCCGAGAAGCCTCAGGTAGCATAATCTCTGCTGGGCCCTTTTGACCAGGGCTGCAATGTGGACACCCCAAGTCAGGTCCTCTTTTAGGGTAACACCCAGAAACTTAAAACTGGCCACTTGCTCCACTCGGTCTCCATTGATAAGCAAGGACTGGAGGTCTGATCGGTTCCTTCTATAGTCCACTATCGGTTCCTTGGTCTTATTGGGGTTGAGGACCAAGTTATTTAAGTCCCCATATGCTTTTAGACGGGGGGTGTTTTTAACGTGCCAAACATCTAGTAAGTCTCAGGGATGAAGACCAGTGGTGAAATGCTACCGATTCGGCCCGGTTCACCCGATGTGGTAGCAAAAGGGCCAAATGGGTAGTGAAAAAAAAACGTCTCCGACCATCAGAACAAAGAGAAAAGCGCAGGATCGGCCCTCGCACCCAGCTGCGCGATCACCAAACCTGTAGGGAAACCTGGGTAGAGTCTCACCACTGATGCAGACCTGAATTGGGGTGGTGGCGGTGGTTCTCATCCTGCAGACTTTAGGAATTTCCCCACCCCCCCTCCTTTTCTCCTCTTAAAATGATGCTACTGGCTGCTAATCTGCTTCCAGACAGAATCCAGAACCACGCCGGTCGTTAAGAAAGTTGCAAACCATTTTTGAAGGGCGTTCTGAATGTGCAGGAAATGGCCCGACTTCCACATGGACGGTTCCAAATTTTTAATGCTCAGAGTGGTTCACGTCAAGGTCAGGGCTTTGAAAACAACCCGTTTCCAAGAGGGTAGAAAAGCAGCTTAGAACATAGAAACCTACGACTGGAAGGGATCTCAGGGTCTTTAGACCGGAGGTCTCCAAACTTGGCAACTTGTGGACTTGTGGACTTCAACTCCCAGAATTCTCCCAGTTTGGGGACCCCTGCTTTATACCATCCTGGTCAAATGGTTGTCTAATCTAGTCTTGAAAACCTCCAGTTATGGAGCATCCATAACTCAGGGTGGCAAGATATTAATTCCTGATGAATAGTTCTCACTGTCAGGAAATTTTTTCCATCGTTTTACATTGGATATCTCTTCTTGATAAGTTTCCATCTTTAACCTCTTATCCTGCTCTCTGGCGCTTTGCAGAATAAAGTTGACCCTATCTTCTCTCAGGAGGGGTTGGGCTTGAAGACCTCTGGGGTCCCTTCCACCTCTTTTATTCTGTAAAACTCTCCTTTAGGCAGGAGGTTGAATTAGAAGACCTCTAAGGTACCTTCCAGCTGTTTTTTTTTTCCTCAAGAGGCAACTGGACTTTCTTGGTTTTTCCTTGAAGATGTTTCGCTTCTCATCCAAGAAGCTTCTTCAGTTCTGACTGAATGGTGGGGAATGGAAGGATTTATATTCCTTGCAGTCATCTGGTCGTTAGCGCTCTTTCTGGGAGTCATTGAAGCCACTTGGGTGTGGAACCATTTTGGAATGGCTGAAGAACCGAAGAAGCTTCTTGGATGAGAAGCGAAACACCTTCAAGGAAAAACCAGAAAGTTCAGTTGCCTCTTGAAAAAAAACCACACCTTTGGGACAACAATGACCTGGGTGACAGAGAACCTCCATAGACATCTCCTTCCAAAATGCTTGGCTTCTCATCCAAGTAGCTTCATCAGTTCTGAAGAAGAAGAACTGAAGAAGCTTCTTGGATGAGAAGCAAAACATCCTCAAGGAAAAACCAAGAAAATTCAGTTGCCTCTTGAAAAAAAACCACGCCTTTGGGACAACTATGACCTAGAGGATGGAGAATCTCCACAGGTATCTCTCTTTAATGATCTTCCACCCATTGCTTCTTGTCCCACCCTCGGGTGCTCTTGATATGGCCAACCAGAGGTTGAGATGCTTTAATGGTTCCCTTCTCTAAACAAGGAATGTACAGGATGGCTTAAATATCCCCTTTACGATTCTACGACTTGCTCTTTTCTCAGATGAAAAGTAGGATCTTAGCGTTGGGTTGAGAAGGAATGGGACTGCATCGGAGGTGGTCTTCAGCCAGTTCGGACCAGTTCTGGAGAACTGGTAGTGGAAATTTTGAGTAGTTCGGAGAACCGGCCAATACCACCCCTGACTGGTCCCGCCGACCCCACCTGTTCTCTGCCTCCCCTTGAGTCCCAGCTGATGGGCTGGGTCTTCTTTGGTTGCCCTGCACAGGAGAATGGAGCTGGAAAGCAGGTTAGTGGGGTGGGGAGGGAATGGGGTTTTTGCAGTATCTTTCCCCTGCCACGCCACGCCCACAGAACTGGTAGTAAAAAATTTTTTTTGAATCCCACCACTGGACTGCATGATAGGCGACCCTTCTTTCTGTAGGTAGAACAACATTTGTGAATGCAGTTAAATCTGTATTACAATCCTATTCGTTGTATCCTGACCTCTACGTGCAGAGGTATACTTAAAATTCCTGGCATGGTTGCCTAATAGGTTTAGCCATGAGTCAATTCTTCCTAAATTAGGGTAGGGGAAGAATTGTTCAATTCTACAACATGAGAGATTACCTTCCACTTTATTCAGGGATGGGATTCAAAAATTTTTTAGCAACTGGTTCTGGAGAGAATACAGTCAGCTATGTTGGGCATGTGTGTGATGTCACGCATGGACAATAAGGACTGACTGGGTGAAGAGGGGCGGGGCCAGCCAGGAGCACCATTTGCCGGTTCTCCGAATTGCGCTGAATCGTAACAACCAGTTCTATAGAACCGTTCCGAACCGGCAGAATCCCACCCCTAACTTTATTATTTAGCCTGAGAAAATGCATCAAACAGCTCTTCTGAGGACATGACAGGCCTATTGGAAAAATATCCATTTCCTGGAGAGGAGACTAAAGTATCATTGGATTCACAGAAGGGCTCTTGACATATCTTGATAATTTATAGCCAGAAAATATTTAGCTAGCAACTTGACAGAAGTCTTGACTTGGTGTAATTGATGGATTGATTCAATGAGTGTCCCACTTTTCTCTCGTGGAGCCACTCAAGATGGCTAATTCGAAACAAAACAAAAAAAATTCAAATTAATGCTAAAACCAGCGAGCAATTCAAAACTGGTGGAGTTCCTGAATTGTTCTCTGAGGTTGGTTGTTTTCTGGCAGACGTTTCATTACCCAACAAGGTAACGTCTTCGGAGCTTAAGAACTGAAGATGTTACCTAGTTCAAGGGTCTCCAACCTTTTGGACCTCAGGGACTACTAAGTCCATCACTGTAAATCCCGCGGACCACTAATGCAATCTATCTATCTCAGGACCAGCTGGGTGGGCATGACTGGGTAGTCATGTGACTGGGTGGGCGTGGCCAACTCGATGTCACTCACGTCGAGGCCTCTACTTGCCCCACCCCCTCCCAGCCACTTCTTGCCTGCCCACCTGGGCTCCTTAGGGCCCGAACAGGAAGCAGTGGTTGGAGTTGCAGGAAGTTAGCACCCACCCCTCTCCTAGAAAAATGAAATGTCCTAAGAAATATTAAAAAGGCAGACTATTTCCCCTGAAAAGAGAAGTAGAAACTCAAA